CATCGGGACGCACTTTCTGCTGTTTGTCGGTGTGATCGGTGTTGTGTTTGGGACCGCATTTGCCGCTTACGGTGAGGCGATGCATTGAATAGCATTGGTAAAATATTTTTTTTTTTCGAGCGTATATTTCCGTTTGGCGGTGGGCCGGAGTAGGTTGTTTCCTAATACTATTACTATTGGTTTTATTTATTTTGATTTTCCTTCCCTCTCTTTTCAAAACCCTTTTAGTGCCTTTTTGATTTCTGTGCGATTTTCTTTTCTTTTTTTTATTTCTTTTAGTTTTGTTGTACTTCTTATTTTATTTTATTTTTTGTTTTGGTGTCGGTCGTCACGTTTCAGTTGCTAGCGGCAGCGAAGGAGGACAGTGCAACGCGCGTGTTGTGGTGAAAAGCGCCCGGCGTATATTTGGCAAGGAGTAGATTGGCTGTGGTTTGTTGCACCGTTTTTTTTTTTTTTAGGAGCTTGTGAAATGAATGATCGCGGGAGAGCTGGCTAGCTTAATTAATGTATGTGTATATCCTGATAAATGAATGCATTCTTTATGATACTCTCTACCGTATGAATCTTTTGGGAAGAACGCGACTTTGTAGGGGCGGGGAACCGATAGCGGCCGGATAATATTTTTAATTTTATTTTGCCATCCCACCCACCCCCTTGATTCCCACCACGCGGCGGGGTCTTGTGGTTGGCGGACCCCCAAAGTCTGCCACTTCGTAAGTAATAATATTTAAATCCTAACTGAGAACAAAGGACCATGCTAATGGTCCACAGAATTCTATATATTGAATGAGAATAAAACATTCAAACAATTAAATAACGAACCTTTTTTTTTTAAATTGTTTGTTTTCCATAGATTATTTCAGGATCCGGCCAGCGGCCCTGAAGATTATTCTTTTTTTTTTTTTTTTTGGCACTTCTGCATGTGTCGTTTTTTTTTTGTTACTCCGAACTGCGTGGTGATTGTACGATTTTTTTTTCTATATATATATATTTTTAGGGAGAGTTCACACTCATTCATCATGGAGGCGGCGACGTGGCTTCTCACGGACACGTGCGGGAGCCACTGCTGCGTGGGGATTGCCTGTTGCCGGCGCGCATTTGCCGGCTGTGTATTTTGGTGTCTGCTCTTCCACTCGCTGACTCCATCACTTGTCTCTCTTTTCTTTTCTCTTTTTTCCCATCCTCATGTACACGTGCCCTGCACCACCCGACGCGTAGTGTAAGAACACCTCGGCCATCCGCAAAAAATGACCAATGCACCCATCGGCGAACAAATTGACGATCCACTGAACGACGGTGTGGAGCTTGTCGAGGACCTTCAGGGCCAAGCAGGGCTTCCCACGGGTGACCGAATGGATGTCGCCAAGATCCGCATTGAGAAACTGAACCAGGAGCGTCAGGAGCGCGTTGCCCGGCGGCGAGACCCACAGAGCTGCCTCAAGCGGGGGCTGCATCGCATCATACCCTACGGCGGCATCATCTCCTCCGGATGCAACCTCGCCAGCTCATCGCTGGGCGCCGGAATACTTGCGCTGCCGTATGCCTTCAACACGTCCGGGCTGGCGATGGCGCTGGCGTACCTTGTGGTGGTGGGTCTGCTGACCATCTACTCCTTCACCCTTCTGGGCATCGCGGGGAAGCGGACGGGGCTGCGGAACTACGAGCAGGTCACGAGGGCTCTTCTTGGGAAGGGTGCGGACTACTTTTTGGCCTTCCTGCTTTGGCTTCTGAGTTTTGGTGCGGAAGTCTCTTACGTGATCTCCATGGGCGATGTTGTTGAGGCATTTGTTCAGAATTCCCCGAACAGCTCAGAATATCTCAAATCCTCTTCTGGCCGCAGGTTACTCACGAGCATGGTGTGGCTTGTTGCCATGCTGCCGCTGTGTCTACCGAGGGAGATTTGTATTTGAAAGAAAAACAAAAATGATTTTATACTTTTCGATTTAATTTATTTATATTTTTTAAAAATCTTCTGTGCTTTGTTTTTGTAACTCTTGGTTTTGGTTTTTGGTTTTACTTTTTTTTTTTTTTGTGTGTGGTTCTGTGGGTGGTGTTTTTATTTTTGTTCCGTCCTGTTGCATTTTTTTGCTTGTCTCTGTGTCATGCCATTGTTTACTTGCATTCATACTTGTGGTGTGGATGTATGTATGTTGTGGGAGGCTGGCGTGGTGGGGCGTGATGATGCCTTGAAGTTGTGTGGCCCACACCAGGCGGGGCATTGCACGGGTGTTGTGGTGCCCCGGGAACAGTGTTGGGTTTTCCAGTGCAATTGAGATGCTTGAGGTTATTCGGTCACGGTGCCACGGAGGTACTGCAGGTGAAGACGAGCATCGTTTCTCTTTTTTGCCTAGTTGCCGCTGTAATTCATGTTGGCGCATGTTTTTTTTTTTTTTTTTGTGTGGGCTGACTGTATGCGTTTATGCAAATATATATATATATTTATATATGGACATTTGCATCTCCTCTTTTTTTTTTTTTTTCTGGAAGTGTTTCACGAGCAACTTGCGTGGCGGGACCCCACAATTTAGTTTGTAGGTTTCCCGCGTGTGGCAAGATGTCGCCTTCCCTGCCAGTCGTGGTCAGTGTTGCAGATGGCGTGGCAGAGTCGAGTGGGTTTTACGACGAGGTCTTTTTTACGGAGCAGGAGCCGGCGAATACCGATGAAACGACGTGTGAGAATTTAGTAAAGACAACGAGAGTCACATCAACACTCTCTCCCGTAGAGCAGCGTATTCAGGAGCTTAATGCGATGCGGGCAGAGCGTGTGGCTAGGCGACGTAATCCCGATAACATTTTCTTGAAGGCAATGCATGTTGTGATGCCATACGGTGGCATCTTGTCCTCCGCGTTCAACCTTGCTAGCTCGACCCTTGGCGCCGGCATTGTTGCACTTCCCGCTGCATTCAAGATGTCTGGAATTGCCATGAGCATTCTGTACCTTTTTATTGTGGCGTCCATGGCGGTGTATTCCTTTGTGCTGCTTACCGTTGTCGGTGAGCGCACGGGGCTGCGGAGCTACGAGAAAGTGACACGCCTGCTCCTGGGTCGAGGCGCTGACTATTTGTTGGCGGTTCTCATGTGGATTCTTTGCTTTGGTGGGGATGTCACGTATGTCATATCCATGCTGGGAATTATAAAGGGGTTTGTCAACAATGCCGAATCTACACCTGAATTCCTGAAGACACTGCCCGGAAACCGACTGCTTACTAGCATTGTGTGGCTGTTTTTCATGCTTCCTCTTTGCCTGCCGAAGGAGATCAATTCGCTCCGTATTGTTTCTACAATTGCAGTTTTTTTTATAGTCTTTTTTGCCATTTGCATCGTTGTTCACGCGGCACAGAATGGTCTAAAGAATGGCATACGGGATGACATTGTGTATATTCAGAGCGGCAATCAGGCTATTACTGGACTCTCCATTTATCTCTTTGCCTACGTGAGTCAAGTGAACTGTTACGAGGTATATGAAGAATTATACAAGCCCAGTGTGGGGAGGATGACGAAGAGTGCAGCCCTGGGAACGTCGCTCTGTACCGTGTTGTATCTTGTTGCCGGTGTGTTTGGGTACCTGGAATTTGGCCCCGCCGTGACGGATTCCGTCCTTTTGCTTTATAATCCCGTGCAGGATAAAATGATGGGTGTCGCGTACGCCGGCATCATTGTAAAGCTCTGTGTTGGCTACGGGCTACACATGATACCCTGTCGTGATGCTCTTTACCACATCCTCCACATTGACGCGAGGTTGATTGCGTGGTGGAAGAACTCATTGATTTGCGCTACAATGGCGTTCTTGTCCCTCATTGTCGGTCTGTTTGTTCCACGCATCACTACAGTTTTTGGGCTTGTTGGCTCCGTCTGCGGTGGCTCCATCGGCTACGTATTCCCCGCACTCATGTTCATGTACTGCGGCAACTTCAACGCCCGCTCCGTCGGATGGGGGCACTTCATTGGGGCGTATTTGTTGCTGATTGTTGGTGTTATTGCCATCGTCTTTGGGACCGCCGCCGCTATTTACTCGGAGCTGCAAAATGGATGATGCGGGCTTTAGGCACCGTCTGCCGTCTTTTTCCATTTGATGTACATTGTGCTGCGGACTGTGGGAAGGGGGACTTCTGCTGTTTCGTATGCATGATCTTTTTCTTTTTTTCTTCTTTTCTTCATTTTCGTTTTTCTTTTTCTGCTGCTTTTATTTTATTTTCTCTTTTTTTTTTTTCAATTTATTATTATTTTTGTTTTTTTCACGTGAATTTCATGCACGGACGGTCTTCGATGGACACCGGCTGCAAGCGGCACACGCATGAGGGCCCTGCATGACTACACTTTTCAGGGATATATTACACCGAAGAAGCACACAGACAGACAGACAGACAGACAAATAAAAAAAAATAATAAAATAAAACAAAAAATAATAAAAACTTGATTTTGGCTAAATTGCCGAAAAGATATGCGCATATGTACACATGACATGACTTCCTCTCTCTCTCACAAATACACACACGCAAGACTGTCCTTTTTTTTTTTTTTTTGCGTTGATTGTAGTTTTTGTTTTTTTTTTGTTGTTTTTCTTTCTTTCGGTCCCTGTCGTTGACTGTCTTTCCCTGTTAAAGAGGGAAGGAAGGGTCGCTGCGCATATATGCATGTACTTATACATATATACAAGAGGTGGAAGTAAAAAAGACTATATATTTGTATATTTATTTTATTTTATTTTATATATTTTGATGGCAATACGCATACACACATATACATATATATATGCCTGTGTGTGCATGGTGTGGTGCAGTGAGGATGTCTCTTTTTATTTTATTTAGGCCCCAATCACCTGACATTTTTTTTTTTTTTGTGTGTGGCCCCGACTGTCGGACTGGTTCCCGCTTCTACCCTTTTTTCTTTTTTTTTTTTGAGAACCGTTTGCCTCAATGATGTTTTCTTCTGGACACTTTCATAGACATATGTGTGCCTCTGTAATTATTATTTTCCTTCCCTCTCACCTCTGTACGGCATCAATATATTCTCCCCCCTTTTTTTTTTTTGTTTGCTTTTGTGCACGAAGGCGTGCTGCATCACATCTCCTTTCAGCTGCAAGATACACGCATAGGATTGTAGACGGTCATAAAGGCATTATTATTATTTTTTTTGTTTGTGTGTTTGACGGAACCTGCCACGACCGCCTGAGAGAGAGGGAGGGAGGGAGGGGGAGAGTGAAGGATTGCGTCGCACCGCCATCACCGGCGGTTAGGCAACCATCACACGGCATCACCCATAATAATAATAATAATAATAGTCATTGTGAGAAGATTTTTCAATTTTTATTATTATTTCTTTTTTTTGTAGTCTCTCTCTCTCTGTGTGTGTGTGCGTGTATCTATATGTATATATCTGTCCATTATGTCGTTATATCTTCATGACTTGGGTCCAGAGGCGGTGTCGTATCGACATCTACTCGATGAAGTGAAGCGTCAACTTGACATTACGCACGATGAGTTTGACTGTTGGATTTATGGATTTTTGGAGAACAAAAAATATAACATCCGGGAGACGGTTGCAAAGTTACAACGTCGATTTGCAATGGAAGCCAACGAATTGGCGACGTACACTCTTACGGATTACATGCGGGAGTCATTACGCTCTGGCATTGTTCAGTTTATTGGGGAGGATAAATTGGGGCGCACGG